GGTCTAGGTTGACTGTATGAAATACATCCATTTTTGGATTCCCCAATTCTAGGTGACTTTTATTCTCCATCTCCCCTGTCATGCTATTCTGATTCATTCGGTGAGGAACTACAATTTCATTTGATTTCGATATTTCTCTAATTTTTATTTGTGCTCTACACTCTCAACCTGAAATGTTATTCGAAAATAATTGCTATGCCACTCTATAACTCCGATTTTACAATTTTCAGACCAACCTTACTTTGAATAATGAGGACTCGTAGAGTGATCGGTTTACAAAGATTTGATCACTAATACTAATACTACTTGATAATCTCAAACGTGGATCTTCAATTCTCACCAAGTTTGATGCCGTGATACTTATTCTCTTCAATTTCAATCATTGCTGCCAATAAATTTGCTCCGTGACGATGGCTGGGTATTGCCAGCCGTCGGACTTCGCTATGCAATAATTCCCTCTATACTCAACTCACTCGTTTTCGAGCTATATAATTTCCATGTCATGAACATCTTACTTTGCATGAAGCCAGGCACTTTAAAAATTCTTAATGAGCCCTTGATGCGTCTTTCTGGATATCCCTCGTTCTCGCATATTCAAATGCACTGTTGAAATGCCTTTTGTCCTTATGACTGCTCTTTTTGTCTCTATATCCCAACCTTCTAGATGCCATCGGCTTTTTCTTGACGGATAATAAATTGTTGGTATCAACTTGGTTGATAAATGTAAGTACTTAGTTCTATGTGGTTGTATTCGTTCTTGATCATTATTATCTATGGGAAGCTAGTACTTAATATAGGGAAGCGCTAGCGCGACGCTAGCTAATACAGTGCCCTCTTTGATCACATGATCGATGTTCCGACATAAATATACCCTCCATTCCCATTATTATCCTACTTGTTATGAGCCAGTAATTAGTATGCATTTTCAGCAGCAGTACTTAGAAAAGGTAAATATAGACATCAATATCTGCGTAAGACATGGCGTATGGATAATGGCAGAGGCTCCTGTGTATAGTCTGTATAAGCTTAGGTATTTAATTCTCAACAGTCTGACCTCCTCCTTTCTTATGGTTTCTCGCGGTCTATGGCATGAAAGATGGTTGTGGGCTACATCTAGTGGTGGTTGAGATGATTCATAGGCATAGGTTGTTTATGACGGCAATCAAATATCAATTTCACCGAAGCAATTTTCAATCTCTTTCACTCTAAAATTTTGCTCTCCGAGTCCCAATTCTAGTACTTGCCTTAAGACACCCATATCATTGTATCCTGTGCACGTGATATTCGCTAAAGAACAAGAAATATGAACATTCGTGCAAACTATGCTAAATTTGAATCTTATCTCTTGCTATTCCTTTCTTTGTAGCTTCTACGAAACTCGTTTTTCTTGGACACGCAGGTAACGAATATTTTAACGATGTAATACTAATGCTGGCTTGGTGACTACTTGACTGTGGTATCGGATTTGGCACCAATCAATCGATGATGTGAAGAACAGATCAAGAAGCTCATCCTCATCTTGAATTACGTCTTCATCGCAATATCACTGATAGCTTCCAGGATTATAATTGAAGTGAATGGTCTCACTGATGCTTAGTCTCATTCATGACACTGCTTCTCGTTGTAAAGCCTCGGAACCACAGCGGTACGAAGAGCAGTCTAAAAATCCGCAAGTTCACTATTGATGACAAAAAGCTTGGAAGCCATTTACTTAACTGTCTAGGCTACAGCTATTGACGAAAACATCCACAGAAATGTAAGTTCAAGTGAGTTATATCTCGAATTCGATCTGGAAGACATAAGAGAAAGAAATCTCTTTGGCTCAACTTAGTTTTGTGGAGGGGAGTCCACGTATGTGCCAGCTCAGACATCTGTATATATGATTTAAACTGTGGGACTTATGTGAACCATGTGTTAATACAAGAAGAAAGAGGAAAGAGGGTGAGACTGCTAGTACGAATAGGTTTTAGGAGGAAGTGATGAAGTATATTTTATGGCTTCCGTTTGAACATTGAATTTGAAATTCAAAATATCCCAGAAGAAGCTTTTCCAGACTCCTACAGCCAAGGATTTTCTAGACCCATTTGTAAGCTAAGAAAGCGGCTCTAGAAAATCACTACTCTTCCTTCGGACTCTATCTTGCCCACACGCTTGGAGACGATAGAAGTGTATGCTTTGTAGGTGAGAACTTTATTCAGCAAGTGGAGTTTGGTTGTGATAGTGTAGACTCCGAATATCGAGCTAATACGCGGAGACGGGAAGGGGCTTTCGAAATGGGGTAGCAGTGATGGCAATGGTGAGGCTTTTGTCAATAACGGTGGAAGGGAGGTGATACTGACAGCTAGATCAGGAATTGTGGAATCTTATTTGAGCAGCGCGTAGATCTGAGGTTGGACACACTAATAATGCGATTTGAAGATCAAGTTCTCAGAGAGCACTACCCAACCTAATCTTAACGTAATTAACAGTCCACTGTGTTTTTATGATTGATACGTGCTCATTTCCCTTGGGTCAAAAACATGCGTTGAATTCCACAAACCTAATACTTGAAATTTCACCTCAATGCGGTCACCATATATATCACTTCGTAAGAATCGAGAAAAGCCAGATTAATTCTCAACTTGCTGTATGGGAATCAGAAGTCTTGCACCGTAAGCCGCAAGCCGGCATCCATACATTATCTAGACTCAAAGAAAGGAATAAAAAAGCGTTCTCATAACAGCAATTCTATCAATGATAGCGCACGGTACTATGTTTACATTTTTATGCAAATCATTTTTGCAAAGGTATTATACACTCTTTCAAACTCATATCTAGATCAGTAAAACAGCCATCACAGGAGCCTGTAATTCAGGGGCGTTCGGGGCTTTGAAGCGAAGTGCGGGGTAAATCTATCCCCTCCTTTGTCAAAATATTAGGCGTGCTGATTGATAGTGATTGCGGGTATGGAGGAGAACGTTGCGGGAGGCTTGGAGAAGGCTAAGTATTGATCAGATACAATACAAGATTGAAGAAACGAGTCATAATACAATTGGGCTTCATTCAAAATATATAAATGATCGACTTGACATAACTCAGTTCTGTACAATCATTCCCAGGAGAAGGTTCAATAATGCGATTGATTAGGTATTAGTATTATGATATAATCCAGAAAACAAACACCATGTTTACAAACTTAGTAAAGTCTCGACCAAATTTCCCGGCGTCTCGAAAAAGTCAAACATGACAATCCCCACCCTCTTTCCATGCATCCCTTTTAGAAATGTCAACAGGTTTTGATTTACACCACCAGCTGGCGTATATTCTGTTCCGTTTCCAATAGCCAATGTCTCAGGAAACACACCATCTGAGATCTTTCCTCCACTGGCCCAAGTCCACCATAAACTATCAGGTGCCAGAGATTCATCCGCGGCCTTCAACAGATGTATCATTGTGACGTCGTACTTCGATTGAATATTGACCGTTGCATTTGACTGAGCTGGTGTTTGAGGCTCATAATTATCCTCGATATATGCTGTATAATTTTTCGCAGTATTATAGTTGATTTTAATGTCAGGGGAATTATCGGTCCAAAGAGCGGGGGAGAAGTGAAGGCCAGGCAAAGCATTTTCGTAAGCGTCTGACAATTGATCAAGATCGAAGCGGCGAAGAAGAATGATTTTGCCTCGTGCGTCACCAAGAGTTCCCAATTCATTTCTCGTCTGCAAAAAATACTTTGTTGCTGCTGGTGACGTGAGAACATTGAATAACTTGAGTTGTGCTTCTTCATCATTTCTTCCATATTCCGTAGTGCTACCTTCATATTGAAGGCTAAGCAAGACTACTTCAGAGGGATGATTATCAAGCCAATGAAAATAACCAAAAATTACATCATCCAAAGTTGCAGTCTGCGATAGAAGAGCTTGACTATGCCAAAATACAATCGAGGTGTTGGTAACGTCCAGGGCAAATCTCAAGTCAAACGCTCGTATTCCCGCATTGAGCATATCTGCAATAGAATTATTCTGGCAGCGATAATACTCTGGTGGATTAGGGACTTGATTTCCTAGAGATGTGACACCAGATAGCGCGGACTGAGTGGCGAGAGAATAGTTCCAAGTTGCGGTATCATGAGTCCCAGGAATATTCATGTGTACCAGGTTTGTGGTATCAGCGTATCGGCTCATCCACGTCGAAGTATTCAATTGATTGTCTGCATAGGTCCCAAATATCGGAGACGCATTTGTGAGGAGCTTCTGGAGGGCAAATTCTTGCAGTGAAACGTCTGACTCGCTGGCTTGACGTGATATTGGGGAAGCATGGGCTCCATATGACACTGCCAAAGCGATTAAGAAGCTGGTAATAGGAATGAGCATGGCGATTATAATTGTACACTTGGCGGTGTTATGACGGAAAAATTTGTCGACGCGTAGTGATTAAGCTTCAGAATTGAGGTTTGATCCAGAAATTGATAGAAGATGGGCTGAGATTGCGTTATGTGTAGGGCCAATATATGCTACAGTTGTACAATCAATTAGGATAAGATATTTGCTTTATGACACCGGCTCCAAATGTGCTTGATTTTCCAGTGCTCCCCTTTAAATATGTGCTTGGAGATTCGATAGGATGGCAGTTTCCTTTTGACCTGAATGTGAGATCTTGGTGGAGTCTAGCAAAGCGATCGTCGGAATAGAGGGTCGGAAAAATACCTAGTTTGCCGGGCTCAGTTCTTGTGATGCGACTTTACTGGATTGATGTGTAATCTTACATTGTTAGCATTGATGATTATATACTCCTTTCACACCCATCAAAACGATTCCAATATTGTTCATTGAGACTTTTGATGCGAACAAAGCGGGATCCCGACGGATCACTGCGGAGTACGGATTCGCAGTGCTCACACTAACTCTTACGAGGAATGGTAAGGTTGACCAGGTAGTGTAGTCTATATCTTGATACGAAGTATTTTGTACAAATTAAAAATATGATAATATATCACTGAAAGTATCACCTCATATGAATCTTATGAGTGTTGCCGGGAAAGAAGCATTTTTGTTCGAAAGAAGTCGCCCTTTCCTTGCTGACTCCCACGTGGGGTTCTGTGAGAAACACATGTGTCGAAACACCCATTTTGATTGGTGTTCTAATGGAAAGGAAGACCATTCGGTCTGAGTTTGCAATGAAACTTTAACCATTTTTCAGGTTTTCATCTTTGTGCTGTCACCGCATATATATGTTTAAATGGAGGTTCACTCCCACAACCCAATAACCAAGTGGAAGTGGAGGCTGTTTTTCTATACAATTGGCCTTTCCTCAGGGTTCTTGATACTGTCAGCAAAATTTGGCATCATGTTCGCCGGTAAATTTACCCTCTTCACAATGCTGGCGGGATCACAGGGCACGATTGCTCTATCTGCTTCGGAAAGCTTTTATCCAATAGGCCTCAATGAAACTTCATACATCACAAATACTTCACTTGGATCATATGGTGGCAGTTATTCGGCTCCTGGAAAGTCTACGACATCAAACATAACATATGGCACATACGATTATTGCTCGATGCCCCATCCAAGAGTACAAGAGTATCTACTTCCTTCACCTGTAGCCAATGGAAGTGTCAAGACAGAGCTCGTCTATCTGGAGTATTTACAAAGACATCAGAGGAGGACTATGTACAATGTCTTACCCAGTGGAGAGGTCAATTTATCTCGCGTCGACACCGGTGAACTTGCTAACTTGTTTTAGACCGTGCCTTTCAATTGCTCAGATATTTCACCATATTTGTATGCTGGACCTCATGATACCACCTTGGAACAGCCCATTCCAGTGTATGCTAGCACATATACAGATGCACACAATCCTTTCTTGGGCAACTATATCTCGGGAACTTGCCAATATCCACAACTTACAATCGGTGGCCTATTGGATGGCTACCAGCACGGTCGAGACCTTTCAGGAGTGTATGGTGCCACCGGTAAATTGAGTCTTTTCCCCACAAATCCATCGTTGGAGCAAAGTTACTTTCGCTCCTCGGAATCGCCTTTGACACAGCAGAGTGCTGGAGGGGTACTACGTGGAATCTGGCCCAAGTATCAAGGATCAATTTCTCTCCATCAACAAGCTAGCTCACTCGACACCGTTAACGCAGGGTACTCTTGCTCCGCCATTGCTTCAACGCTAGCTAGAATTAAGTCAACTACTGAATGGCAAGCTCACCTGACGGCTACATCAACCATACGTACTACACTTGGAAATATGTTCAACGCAGACTCTAGTGCATGGCAAGGGACAATGGATCATTTCGCAGACAATTTCCAAGCTCGACTCTGTAATGGTTATTCGCTTCCTTGCTCTCCGACTAATGCGTCAAACTGCGTAACTCGGGAAATGGCAGATGAGGTTTTCAGAGCTGGAGACTGGGAGTGGAATTACTACTGGAGGGCAAATCCGTATGCTCAGAAGTACATACAAGTCGTAGAGGGACTATTTATTGGAGAGATAGTGTCAAGACTAGAAAGTGTTGCAAACGGGACGATTCAAGGAGGAAAGTACAGTCATACATTTGTTCATGATGGAGATATTGGTCCAGTAGCAGGCGCTTTGGGTATAAATGCTCTAAGATGGCCTGGAATGGGGAGCAACATTGCTGTGGAGATTTGGAAGCTTCAGAACTCTAGCAGCCCGGCTATTGATGGACATTTTGCAAGAGTATTGTATAGTGGACAACCTATGCAGTCAAGCCATGGAGATTTGGATTGGGTTCCATTGCGAACTTTATTGGGAATTTTGAAGCAATTTGTGCCGACAGATATTGTGTCGCTATGCAACAGTTGAGGGAATCACCAGGGAAGGTACCGGAAAGGGGATATTCCTTGGTAAGATTCACATAAAACATTGTATTACGTGAGAAAACTATCAACCACGTATTCCTCATTTGGGAGCAGACTCGATCATTCAAAATTTGAGCAGGAATGTGAGAGAGTACAATAAATTACTCGTCCTAGTCTCCCCAACAAATAATGCTGCAGTTGAGAGATTGAAGCCTACCTACTTAAGGTCACCACAATATCTTTTCAAGAAAGCAGAAAGAAACTGCCAAATTTGTATTATTCACTAAAAAAAGAGTCCACCATCGCGCACACTATTGTATTTGGCGAATGAACCCTACTCGAGGCATCATCAACGTGCGGTCGGCGATTGAGGACGATGCCAGAATATATCGCAGCAGTTAAATCTGATACCAAATGAGAGTAAGACTTATGAATGTGCTGCTATCTAACCACCCAGCAACTTTATCCCTCTTATCCTCGACATAGCAAGTACATTTCTGCACTATTTCCATCTGGAGACAAAATCACGTGCGCGGGGTCGGCTAGCAGCGCAGGTCGATGCAAAATGGATTTGGCTCCTTGGATCTCCTTCGGTCCCGACATCAAGAAGGCTTTCTGCCCCACCTACAATAAAACCATTTCGACCACTTCCCTCGTCCTTTATCAATCATAAAAAGTTGCCAATTCAACCAAAGCTTAATTAATGCCGATTCTCAATTCCACCCCTCTCTAGTCTCTTATGTAATTAATGTTTCCCTCATTCAGCCTCCTTATCCTCCCCATCCCGTATCAAGAAGCCGGGTGGCTATGACTTTTTCCCCTTTTCATTCGTGTCACGAGTTGTGGGGATCGTGGGGCACTCCATGTGCGTACGTACTACGAATGATGGACTAATATACATGAAAAGACGTGAAGAATCGGAGGATATCTCTATCTTATATAGAAGTATACACTCCGAGTTTCGGGTACCAATCTACTACATCACAAAGTTTCTCTATATATCACATGATACGATTTTATTCAACTCATCAAACAGACTTGCAATTCGATTCAGAAAGTTCCTAAAAACTACCATCATGGATAGAGCATCACACATTGTGATCATTGGGGCTGGTGAGGTGCTTCGCTTTCTATCTCTCGAGTTCATCTACTTACAGTTATAAGGCATGGGAGGGCTGTCAACCGCATTGGCTTTAGCTAAAGAGGGCTTCATAAACATCGAAGTTTTCGAGACAGCGTCGAATTTAGGTTTCGTCGGTGCTGGAATTCAATTGGCGCCAAATATGGCCAGAATATTGGATAGATTGGGCTGTTGGAAGGAGATTGAGGCCGAAGCTGTCGATTTGAAAGAAACTAGTATTAGACGTACGTTCAGTTGCTCTCTTACCCCCTCGCCAAATTTTGAGAATTCTGTTTAAGCCATGCGTTACCACACCTTATCTCACCCGAATTTTCCTACAAAAGCATGTTACTGATCAAGAAACAGAGGGCGACTCTGATAAAGAGCTTGCTCACGTGGATCTTTTGTACATCAGAGAAACCTATGAATACCCCCATATGGTTGGTCACCGATCCAATCTTGCTGGCTCTATGTATGAGGCTTGTAAGAGAGAGAGCGGTATCAAATTTCATTTCTCTGTCGCAGCCGAAGCTGTTGAGTCTTTTGGTCCCAAGCCACTCCTCAAGGTCAAGTCACGTCACGGAGAATCTTATACTGTCGAAGCCGATGTCATTCTCGCATCAGATGGTATCAAATCGATCGTTAGATCAAAGGTTCTATCTGAATTGAACCATGACGCACACATTACAGACACGAACCAGGCAGCATACAGAATTATGCTAAAGCGTGAGGAAATGGAGAACGACCCCGAGCTTTTGGAACTTATCGATGGAGATAAGGTCACAAGATGGATTGGAGAGAAAAGACATATCATCGCCTACCCAGTCTCAAGCAAACAAATCTATAACCTCTCCACAGTTCAACCAGACACAAATTTCGCTGCCGCCCCTTCAGCTACTTATACTACCAAGGGTGATAAGAGCGCTATGTTGGATATTTTCTCAGAATTTTGCCCTAAAGTTCAACGTATGTTGAACCTTGTTCCTGATGGTGAGGTATGTGAATGGAAACTTCGTGTCCACAGCCCTCTTCCAACTTGGGTCCGCGGATCGATTGCATTAGTCGGAGATGCCTGCCATCCAACTCTTCCTCATTTAGCTCAAGGTGCCGCTCAAGCAATTGAAGATGCTGCCGTATTAGGCGCTGTGCTTTCTAAGTGTCCTTCAAACAGTCCATCAGATATCAACAAATCTTTACTCGTTTACGAGAGCGTTAGAAAAGAACGAGCCGAAACCCTCGTTGAGCTCGCTGCACAATCTGGACGAGCTTTACATTTGGGTGATGGAGCTGCGAAGGCAGAGAGAGATAAGCAATTCGCTGCATTGAAACAAGAGGGGGGAGCAGTTCCAGATAAATGGGCAGATGTTGATGTTCAAAAGAGGGTTTATGGTTTTGATTGTTATCAAGTTGCTCTTGACAGGTTTGAAGATTTATTTGCCAAGGTTGAAGAAGGTAAATTCGTCGGTTTGGATCAGCCAGTGAACAGTTCAGGTCAAAACGGAAATGCTGCCAATATATAATATCAATATAGATACATTGTAAAACGTTTATCTCAAATGTTCAGCACCCACTAGATTCTGCACCTGGGACCATTTATTCTGATTTGTGCTTGAAGGCAGATTCAATGATTGTTTCTTCGAGGTTGCGTGAAGCAGACCGAGTTATCTACATAAATACACGTGCGACAGATTCGTAACCAAAAGCTTCGTTATTATCATATCGTCATTCTCTTTGTGGCTTATTGTACGGGCAACACCACTAAACATGATTGCCAGACGATCAACAGCAATAAAGCACAACCTTCAAGAAGCGTCTAGGCCCCCCACAGTCTACAATTAAAGCATCAAAGTTCTAGAGCGAAGAACTTTTATTTGGTTCCCTTATTGGCCATGGTGCGTCCGAGTGGCGTTTTCGGATAGCCTGATTTAATGCATACCTAACATCAGACAGCGACTTGACTCGCACGTCCATCAAAGCTAGTGGACCCTAGGGTGATTAACTTTTTGTTTTTGCTCCGAAACGGTTTCAAAAACCAGATGAGTTTGAAATCGGTGTCTAGATGATTTAAGGCTACGAGAGATTGTTTGAGGTCATTGTTGCGAAGTCCAAGCACGAAGAGAAAAGATCATTGGGATGTTAAAATTATCATAATTAAAATGAGCGTATATCGAAAGCCGTTCGGAATCTCTACCTGAATGTAGCCTGTGATGTAAAGACATCCGACAAACGTAATTTCGTGCTTGTGAAATAAACCTCCCCGGAAAATACCTATTGTCCAATTGATTGGTCCCATATTACCCCTCGAAATGAAAATCGTGAATAAATCGTTATCATCGTCACCAGACATTCGTCTGTTGTACTGCGTGCCTATTCTTATGTTGCCCCCACACCATCCAATATCCACTCACTTGCCAGATCCATCTCTTTTATTTTGGGAATTTTCGATCAAAGATGTCTTTTTCCGTTCAAGATGAATTATACATAAGAATGCCGTAGAAAAAGAATTTACCTAAATCTAGATTGGTAAACCCGTAGAATCAGGAGATCCAAATCGACTTTTCCGAATGTTTGGATCATCCATCAAGATTCTAACGCCGAACCCCCTCTCCAAATCAGTGGGAGACATTTGACCTTTCGTTATACCTTCAAATTGTCCCAAAGCTCCAGATCCTTGTATCGCTCTGGGCAATCCGCGGAGAGTCTCAATAATAAGGTCTGCTTGCTGCGTGGTTAAGCCCTCCTCCCGTTTTTCTTTATCCGCATCCCCGCCAACTAATTCATACTTCATTGCTTTCAGCCCCAAGTACAGTCCTGCGGCAAGGAAAGCTCCTAGAGCGGGACCCAGCCAGTAAATCCAATGATAAGTTGGAAATGAAGCTTGAACAACGGCTGGTGAGAATGCTCGGGCAGGATTGATTCCTGCTCCTGTCCAAAAGATACCGACAAGGTGGCCGATAAAAAGCGAAAAACCAATACCGATAGGTGCGACAAATGTAGACTTCGTCTTTTCGGCGACGAGCATGAGGATGGTGAATATGAGCATAAAGGTTAAAAGTAGTTCCATGAACAAGCCTTGGACTTTATCGGAATCGAATTAGTAAAGTGTCTTTCGCTTCCCTGAACTATTCATGCTTACCATCTGTAACACCTGGTCCAAGTGATACTGCGAAAAGTATGTCATCACCTGGTATGATGCTTTTGACTGCAGCAGCAGCCAAACTTCCACCAACAAGTTGAGCAGGTATAAGTATCAATGCTTTCGTAGGAGACACTGCCCCGATAAGCACGAGTGCGAGCGTGACCGCCGGGTTGAACTGCCCCCCACTGACACGAAAGAAAATCCAAACATTTGCTGCAAGACTAGCACCAAATGCAAGGGCAATATATAACAGTTTTGATGTATCAGTTGCGTTGGGTGTGAGGGGCTTAGTTCCGTTGGGTTGGTTCGCCGTTTGTGCTGCAGCAAATGCGAAGAAGAGGAACAAAAAAGTTCCAACTAGTTCACCGATCATTGAGACCAAGTAATCTCTAGCTGGGCTTCTCAATGCCATGATGCTTGATATCGCTTTTATGATTCCAACTGATATATGATCTAGAGATTACCAAACCAGATGGTACGACTCCAAACAACTGGACTTTTCACAGTAGTGCAAGGGAAAGACCATAGAAACAATGCAACCTATATTTGAAAAGAACAACGACGAAAACAAGACAGCGGAGAGGACGGGGTATAATAACAGAGTCATTATGCAGTGTAGCAATTGAACAGGTTCCATGAGTATTCATACATCGAACCTCGAGATGTTTCGATACCCCAGAATATTATGCTAATAATGGACATGGAGTGAAATGACGATCAATAACTCTATCAAAAAATTGGGCTTCAGTCATCCCACGAAAGTCGCACGACGGAGGGTTGGGTGAAACCAAAGTTTGCACTGAATATTGCTATAATGCGGAGTTCCAGAGTCGGATGATTAGTGCCATAACACATAACAGATAGAAGTACAGATGCAATACACCTCAAGCGCAGATCACTATATGCCTTCGATCACCATATTATCCCGGATAGTGTTCAATCAATTCCTGATATATTCAGTTTTGTACTATAGTAGCCCGCATATCAATGAAAACTATGTAACAAATTACAAATTCTTGTGTATCGTCTTTTTGAGGGGGTGGCGGGGCAAGGATTTCTGAAAAATTGATAGGGTTTAAAAGAAAGTACGGTTTTTATTCCTCATGTTGAAACTAATTGAATAGACCAAAATAACTCAAAGATGAATAGGTCAGAAGTTAGCAAAGGGATGCTAGGAGCATAAAGCGCTCAAGCCTCACCATGGCTAATGTGGTGGTTTAGCTAGTTTCAACGGAGACAGACGCTAAACTAACAATAAACTTGAAAGCAGATGCCGGATTCTTTCTTAAAAATTCCACGACAGGCGTATGCTGTATTGATGCAGGCAATTTGATTCGTAGTTGAGTTTGAACATTCGTTCATTTGAAACCTACGGTTATCTATTGGCGGGCGTATCTGTGCCACAATAATTCATCGGATTGATTGAGATGAAAAGAGCTCTTTGACTATCGTTTATAAATTTAAAGTTCATATTGATGGAATCAAGACACGTATTTTTGCGATTGATGATTCTCGTCGGATTTTTTTGGGAACGCGGGTAGTGGTGGTAGCGGATGCTTTCGAAACGATCAAATTGATTATACCAATGTCAACCAGCGAAGCAACAAAAGTTTTTGCTACTCGAATTGTCTTGAGAGCTCACAGATGTAACTATGATATTGTGATCAACATGTACTCTAAATGATTGTGATAGAAACAATTTCAATGCGAGGCCAAACATCCTGAATCGACCCACGTAGCGTGAGATGGACGTCGTTTCCACAAACGGTCGCTTAAAATTTGTAGATCCGCCTAGTCCATGGTGAAATGTGTTAAAAATAGTCTTACAGAGTTTCGACGGGATTGACGACTGTCCATACCACATCATGCTACCGCTACTGCAGTGTGAATCGGAATACTTTCTTGCGCCTTCAAGTATCATTCTAATATTTCACAAAGGAACATCTCGCAACTGAGGCACTAGCTGAAATTATGACGTGTTTGGGAAATGAAACATGATAGGGTGAGATTCCTGTGGCTAATAATAACGGAAACGAAAGAAACGATCAATAATTAGGTAGTTTTTTGAGTATCAAGAAGGTGAGTACTATAATAATCACAGCAGATGTTGATGAACGATAACCATGCTACTTTCCAGTATCAGGGGCTCTGAGTATTTGGATTTCGTGAATCACAAATATAAATCTCTTCTCAGCCATCTTCTACTCGATTCAGCGTTAACCGCCGCCATCAGCAACGTGTTTCATTGCTGATGAATGCTTGAAGTAGACACCCGACGCGATGTAATAATCCTGGAGTTTGATTTGGTCATGGGAAAGAATGACCCCAAATTTTCTCGAGATCGACGGTGGCACGTCGCCTTCCTATGAACGTCAGCCACGAGGTGCAATTATGCGTGAAACCAACTGCCTTGGTCTAACAGCTCGGAGAATTTGTATGCCCAAGTGGATGCTTCGGAGGCTTTACACGGGGTAGTATTCTGTCCCCCAAACATTGTCAAAAGAATTCAAGTAGACCACTTGGTCTCCATCTTGGCGATGCCAGGATGCACAAAATTCATGCAAAAAACCGACAGTCAATATCACGATATCCGCCAAAACCAAGGTTCATCCCGAAAAACATTAATATTGACCTTGGCTGAAGATGATCTTCATTGGATTGAAGGCAAATAATCGTATATCGGAAAACAATTGCTCAGTTGACGAGTTTGATCGTAATTGGGTGACTTGCGAGTTATGAATGGGCCACTACAGCTTCGAAGATAAAGTTGGTGGGAGCTTCCAGGATTGAATTATGTGATGTGGGCTGTCGATCTTAAAGAAAAAGAAATGGCTTGTACTACTACCTGGTCCTCGGCTCAACTGGGAGATCACAATAGAGAGTAGAGTCGGACCATTTGAGCATTTTCTTCTCAAAATAGCCAGGAAAAACGATTTCGAAAATTCTACCGAGTTGTGAAAAACACATCGTGAAGTCGTAGAACTATGAGGCTTCTTTCATTCAAAAAGAAATCAACCCTAGAATCCAATGTGCTTGATCTGGAACTCGGAAACAATCAATGAACGATTGGGTCAACTTGACGCGATAGGAGACCGACTGGAAGTGAAAGTGAAATTGAAGACGATGACTTTACTGCAAGTAAATTCAAAACTCGCGGCACCACCAAGTACCTTTGTCAAAGTATCAAAGATATCTACCTAGTAAGTATCGAGGGGCAGTAGCCCCTTTGTGAAGGGTCTTAAGCCTCGTAGGGTAACAAGGTCTAGCGTTGAGTCCTGTAGATGAAGGAATGAAGACTGGGCGGCATGAAGCTCTATCCAAGTAACTCTAATCGAAGAATGGTCATGCCCAAATCTGAAAGAATAGGATGTGCTAAAATTAAGTTGTATGGGTAGAGAGCTGCCAAAGTCCTATAATGAATTTATCAGAGTTTAATTGTATCCGGTTAAAAGTTTCGTAGCTCTTGTTCATTGTCGATGGTATTATAATTATATGGGATCAGAGACGTTGTTTTTTTGGTCGAAGAGGATGGATAGTGGAAGAGAGGAGGTGAGATTTCGATAATTCTGCCGGGCGGTGACAGATTAAGGCTCACTGTACTTTCGCAAGGCCTCAACCAACACTATAATCTCAATGTGTGTGTTTCGCTGCATACAATTTTACAATTGAATGTCGAAGCTCTGTCAAGAAAGTGAGCAGGAGTTCTGCTACTTATATGCATAATTCTAAGAAGATTGCGCGAAAGGGTGTGCGGATTGAAGATACAATGGCAGATCTGCAATTGGTTTTGAAAGGCATGTATAAGTTCCCAAACTCCCTTGCTCGTTTGTGTGCAATATGAAGCTCATTTGTATCAGAACAGAATCTTTCACGGATTGAGATATATGACAGCCAAATGGAACATGTTCTTGGAGGTTTCAAGTGGGCCGACCAGACGATTGTTGAACTTTGGCATTATGGAATCCCAACTTCTGCGAATTTCATGGAAGGGTTTCCACAGGAACACCTTTGGCAGTGCGGCAGGTCAGTGCTGGTATCGCCCAAAGCCCTATTTCAACAGAAATAATTGGTAGAATGTCAAGCAAGAATATATCAAATGTCTATTGTGGACGTCTGTTATATTATAGAGAAGTTCAATGAATATGAGAGTCATAGCGGAAGCTTTCCTTGAACTGTAGCACTTTTGATAATTTTCCACTCTATCTTCAGTCCGTCGAGTCTATCATTTCCGGATCGCACGCGGGTCTTTGCGTGTCAATGTGGCTAGTGCTTGAAGTCGGGTCTCCAAGAAGCTTTCGGTACAGATTCTCTCCATGTCCGCAAAGTTTCTAAATCGACCGCCATCTCCTTACTCATCTGCTTGATCCGTATAGGGACTTTGCTCCTCTATCTTGTACAGCAGTTGTTTTCTTGTAAAGCCAAGACTGTTGGCTGTCCTTCCCATAACATATTCTGCAAAATTTCGTGGAAATGAACCACTTCCGATATTCTTTAATTTCAACGTCTCGCCTCTATTTCTGATGTTAAATTTCTCCCATGGGCTGGCAAACGATCCTGAGCGTAGGACCTTTTTTGCATCGTCTTTTTCAAGATTCCTCAAAGTTTTACTGCTGGTGTAAATACGTTTTGTTTGCCTCATCAAACTCACGCTAATGCAAGGTCACTGAGTTGATGCTAACATGTTTTGGGCAGTCAGCATGCCTAAACCCCTTCTGAACACGAAAGACTGAAATTCTGAGAACCATCACTAAGATGGTGAGCTAATATCAATATCTCATCCCTTCAAGGGCTAGTTATTGTGAACATGTTATTCTTCCAACAACAGACAGGCCATAAATTTGACCAAATTCTCAAACACAAGTCAAAAGCCATATAACACAGGAACCAAAATGACCGTTCAGTTTTGAAATTCCCAATTCTTGTGTCGGTCAACAAAGTCAAGTAAAGCCCTTCCCACCTCATTCGGATGCGTTGCACTCAAGAAATGAGCACCTCCCTCCACAGTGACTAGCTCCTTACTGGCAGCATTAACAAACAACTTGATCTCTTCTTTGGCATTTGATAGACTGTAAACGGCATCTGACGTTCCATGTAACCAAAGGATTGGACAACGCACATCTGACAAGCGGCCATGCAATCCGTCGCGCTCCCTGAGATTTATGGCCGCCATTCGAATTCTTCTCCTACCTTCATCCCCGCGGTATGTTTCTTTGATTGTTTTTATCCAAAATTCTCGGATATCATGAGAACAATCATTGAATCCTATGTTAACCAAAAGATTGCAATATTCATCATCTGGCTCGAAATCCTCAGTCAAAAATTTGGGATCGGCTGTGCTTTGTCTGATAATTTGACTTAATGCGGCTGAAGCATCCCAACAACCAAGAGAGCGTGTTCTTTCGGACTCATAGTCCATGGATGTTCCCAGAGGAATGACACCCTGTATTCGGTTGGGTGCAAAGAGAGCCATGCGAATAGTCAACCAACCACCTTGCGAAGTACCGAGAACGAAGGCATTCTCAATAGAGAGCGCGTCCATTGTCTGTATATTCGCTATTGCTGTGTCCCAGCTTGAAAAGTATTAGTCTTCGTCTCGCAATACATTGATACCGTGATGTGAAAACATCCAATGATACAGAGGGGAAGAAGGAAAGAAATAAATGCGCGACAAGGAAAATCGAAACACACTAAGTCCAATTCTCTATTTTGGTTGTCGTTCGTCCATGACCCAATGGCTCAATAGCCACGAGGTTCATTACTCTATTAAGTTCTTCGTTCTCGAATTGTTGACGATAGAGTTCCGCTGATGTTGTAAATGAATTGACAAGAATAAGAGTCGGCTTTGAGGGATCGTAGATCGTGGGCATTTGATAGCTTTGAGTTTAGTATCAGTTTTAATTCTGCGTGACGTGTATAAAAAATGTAAGCAAGGGAGATTGTTCCGACATACCCTACTTCTATTCCTCCCAAATGGGGTACCTGGATAGTTTTTGTTCCCGTCATGATTTATTCTACACCTACTAATGAGAACAAACAGTAGCAAAGTCCAAGTCTTCAATGGCTCCCTTCTTATAGATACGCAATCGAGTTCATCCACCAAAACCAATAATGCGATGCAAACCTGAGCATCTAGATGGAGCTAGTACGTGTCATTCAGCTGACAGCGACTAAGAACATTAGTGGCTCGCTGATCAATGAGTTCATGAATCTCACTTGCCAAGGCTAATCTTGGCCGAGGTACTACTGCGAATAGCCAAACTGCAGTTGGCCCGAGTGGGAAGAGAAAATAAATTTGCCTAAAGCTTCTACGGAGTAAGCTTCTGATCTACAATCGATCTATTGTGGTATATCCAAGCCATAACTCCACGCTGCAAATGCCATTGGTAAACAGATATAAACCTGGACCTGCGCCAAAGTCCATGTACCAATCCAACTCAATCCGCCCTGGAATTCAAAAACCAGCCAATCGCAATTCTATTGCGAATCCAAGCATTGGCAGTCTCCAACATCACCTCCAGTTCTCATTCCACTGAGCAAAGAAGGGCACTTCATTGAAACCCGATCATCACTCGCACACTGCATGAGTAAACCCCATACTCTCTCGACAGCGAATCCGAATGAAGGATTGTCAGGCGAATCATTTTCTTCCACAAACCTTGAATCATGACTCCATCCACTTTCGCTAGTTATTGTAGACAACAGATCCTCATATATGCCTCGACTAATTCCGCGGATACGTCTAGCTGACGCGATAAATTGTCCCTTGTATGACAAAAGGATTTTGGTGGAGTCGGTACAACTGGATCCGTAGATATTTTCGTACAGACTTGGGACCATAGCCCAGTCGTCAGTCCATCCAAATCGGTCACCACAGTTGTTACAAGAACAAGTGGATTCAGAAAATCCAAGACTCAACATCCCTGTTTGCGGTACTAAGTACGAATCAATTCGTGGTATGAGCTCCCGGATGTTATGAGCATGAGCCTGAATAAACATAGTTTGTGCTGCCAAATCATTCCAATGGGTAACGATATGACTAAGGTACGTTCCTCCTTCGCGACCAAGATTGGGAAGGCGCTCAACAATGTCAGCACCTGTAGAGTTCTTCAACATTGACAATGACACGGTGGGGTCTTTAGTGTATATAAGAACACGTGTATTACGTGAGGATAAGTATGGTGTTGATTTGATAGCCTTTGACATCCTTGCGATCGACTCAGGTGTTTCCTTGTAAGCGCTGATGACAATATCAAAGGACGATGATACCGGGGTATATAAACTGTCCATTGAGGAGATGGGGCCGGGTTGTAAGCGGAATAGTTGAGATAGGGATAATGCATACAAAGCAACTATAGCCACGGTAGTGAACGAGATCTTTAGGGCAAAAAAAGGTATCCTTTGGGGAGTCGGACTCGGGGCTGTATTGAATAATTGGCAGTGGAGACGGCGTTGAATGTATCCCAACATGTACTCGAGGAAAATGTCGATTTTGGAAAGCCCAATGAGACAATATATCGCTAGAAAATAGGAAGTGAATTGGATCCAAGATACCACAGATATCGGCCCAAATGCCAATGATATTAGCAATACAAGAATGCCAGAAAGTCCGGATACGACGACATCTGAAATGGCTAAGGGTGTTCTGGCGTCCGGATACTTACCGGCCGAGAAAGAACTTGGGGTATATGCGAGCATACTGGTGCCAGAAAGTCCTGCAGCAACCACGGTTACAGAGGAAATGGAAAACAGAGCTAGAGTGCCTGGTTCCGAATAGAACTCTAATATATTGCGCTCTTGAGCATAGGCCAGAAAGCCACTCACGAGGAGCCCAAAAGTTGTGGTCATCAAGATGTAAATATGATAAGATGATGATATCTGATCTCCATGATCATTCATCTTGTGAGATGCCATTACGAAAAAAGCTCTAGAGAGGCCGGTCATAGTAAAAGCTCCAACACCACAAATAATTCCTGGAATAGTGAGACGATACTCATTATAAAGGATTAAGGTTGCGAATACTGCGATGCCGACTGTTTCGAGAGATAGGCGCTTGGAAGAACGCGACTGCGCAACGAAAATGAAGAGAGTGAGAGATTCTATCAGGTGAACCAGGGGCTGAAATTTGTTAGCTTTGTGGTGACTTTTTGGTAGAAATCACTCACGAAGAGCATAATCAAGACGGGGAGACTTGACATATGCATAAGCGCCTCCATCAGTAACGGTAAAGCAACTGCGGAAGTTAAGGAAGCAGGTATCATCCAGAACCATAATTGAGTTCGCTGGAAGCCTTTCGCAGTAGACTGAACATTGATCCGAGATTCATGGCTTGATGTGATAATAGATGTAAACAACCATAGACCAAAGTAGAATGTAGAGATTGTGAGAGCTGGATGATGATTAGTTGTTGCACCGGCAATAAATGAATGCTGTCATACGGTAATCTATCTTTGGATTAGCACCATTAAAGATCATTGTTGTTCTCGAAATACTTACGGAATCCTCTCTGTAACAACAGAAGCTTATTTGCATATATTGAGATCGATGAAGAAAATATCCAGAAGCTAGGGTGTGGTAACACGTCAGCTCTCACATCTCTACTCCCATGGATGGACAAAGATATATATCACGATCATATGCATGATGTGAATAATATCATATGCGCAAACTTACACTGCTTTTCCCCAACTCAGGTTCTCAATGTCATTACTAGACTCGAAATCGCACGTGTTGAGACTAAACCCTTCTTTCAGTTCATCCAAGGAATGTTCGATATCAGTTTCGACAGCGGGGCAAAGAGGGGTCCTCAGAATTCTATAGTCATTGCCTTCCATAATCACAATCGAGCATTCGCAATGGGTCTTCGGACTCGGAGAAGTTCTTGCAAGTCCTTTGATCTTGCTTTGATATAGGACAACATGTTTGAAAGTTGCTCATGTCGAAAGGGGGCACTGAAAATGCGGGGGGCTTAGCAACTCATAACAATATTCATGGATATAGATGATGCATGCTCGAGAGGGTTTCGATCCATGGCCACTTGGCGCATATTCTAGGACATAGGATTTGATGTTTCGCAAATAGCATGGCCCACAAATCATATTAAAGCCATTGTGAATCCTCTTTTAGTTGAGGCACTTGCGTCTCCATCCACGAGTTCGTCCCAATTTATCCCCACGATGTATGTAACTTATACTTTATAACATCTTTGCTTTCATTGCTTTTGAAATTGAGTAAGCATGAAGTGGACGGTACTTTAATTTAGCATTGAAACCCTTTCAGGAAAGCTAATAATAGAGCTAGATTCGAGCGGAAGGGAATTGTGCTTAGTCATCAATATTCTTTACGATATGATGAGATCTTAGTGTATTAGGTAAGGTTATATACGAGGCTTTATACAATTTACGAGGCCTTTATGTATGTCAAGAGGGAAAGAAGCTGCAATATTACGGAGTTTATGCGGGAAAAAGTCCCCTATTCGAGACCCGTATTTTACCGGTTTTGTGGTTTTGTAGGGTTCCTTAAATCATTTACCAAAGGCTGTGAAAAGGATCTAAAAACAAACAATCAACAGGCTGACAAGTCGTTTTCGTGGCATCGTAGGATAATCATACGCGCGGCAAAAGCCCTGAGTCCACTATAAATGTGGAGAGTTGAAGATTGTACTGGGAAAACGTGCCTAATTTGGTGGACAACAGCCTTGTCGCAGCCTACAAGCCTTGCGCCCACGACGAATCAAACGAAGATGATCATTTATATGTCTTCACCCTTTCGTGCACTGGACGGCATATTTATTCGAATGAAAATCTTGACCGCAACTGCAGGTACTCCGTAACAGCAAGTGGGTATCTTAAAACTTGGCTTAAAGCAGCTTTTAGGGAGTACTAGGAAAGTAAGTTGTCGGGATTTGCATCTCATGTCCAAACTGGGGACCGGAGGAAGAATCCTTATGAACCATCATACTAAATTATCTCAAAATGCCATTGAATCAACATACGAGAAGGTAAGAGTTACAGCCTCAACTTATCGTATATTAAACGAAAACACACTAAAACCCCTCATTTCTTTAACTTTTGAATTATATATTATTTCAATCAAAAAATGAAATGAATTTTTTGAATAGATATTTAGAATTATCGTAGGTCATAGGCTAGTAATATAGTATGGAAGCTGGCTCAGGTTAACGACTAAAATGGATTATATAAGCAGTGTGACACGTGATATTAAAGAATCTGTATTTTATATTTTATAGCTCTTATTTTACATTCAAAGGGAAAAGGCCTCTTTTTATGCTTTTTCCTTCTAATTCAGTATTTCCGTTTTCATAAATCTCTTGTAGATCTCTTCCTAATCCATCCATTCTTTCGAAATAAAGCCCTTTTTTATATTCTTTATTTTATATTCATTTTTGGATTTATGACCGTTTTCGATTTAATGATTGTTTTCGGATTAATGATCGCTTTCGTAAGCTTATAAGCGACGATCATGTGATCTGATTATATACTAATATTAGATTGAATGCTATTAAAAAGGTAACGTGATTTATCATCGAGTGGACTATATCATTAAGTGGACCACTTTCATTTCAATAAATATAACCAACTTCAATATGCGATTTATTAATCATTTATTATACAATCTAATAATAAAAAAGCACACTTGCTTTTAGCTATCAAAACTATCAAAAACAATAAAAAACTAAGTCTTCAAAAGGCCTCCTAATTATATAATATTCCTTATATAACCCTTATCTATAAAATGAATAATTTAATTCCATATTCTGAAATTTGAGTAAATCAATATAAATTTAGAGAATTAAAAAAAAAATTATTATTTAATATATTCTTGATATAAATTCAAGAGATTTTTTATTTAAATTTAAGGGAATGGAAGATATAGCGAATTATATTTTTAAATCGAAGGGTATAAAGTATATTAAGAAACTTTGGGTATATTGATTTATGTCACGGAATTCACTGCCCTATGCAACAACACATGATTCAGTAAGGCACTCTTTAATATTACCTACACCATAATTATTATATAGCCTATTATTCCATTTCATTTATAAACTCTAATACCTAATTAAGCGATTCTATTGTTTAATTAAGATATATATAAGGTAGATATGATTCTTATAATTATACCTCAAATCAATTTAGTTTATTATTATTATATATATCTATTATATAATCAAAGTAATCAATCGATATAACTATTCCTTTGTAATAATTATAAATCCAATTAATATTTAAAATTATATATTTATATAAATAATCATATATATCTTTTGTTTATTTTGAATTATTTATATTTATTTATATTCAATTTCTATATAACTCATTATATCTAAATTCAACTCTTTAGAGATTATACATTTTGTTATTCGTGGATATTGATCAAAATGATTCTTATATTTACAATATCTTTATATATCGAAAAATATTTGAAAGGATGTTAAACTATCTATCGATAAGATTATTCCAATCAATTCCAAAGAATCCTCAAAAAATAGAAAATTTTTCTATTAGGTGATTTCTATTTATAAGAAAGACTAGTTTATTAAGGATTCATTTAAATTTATTAAAATTATAAATCTTATAAAAAAATACAATTTATATAATAATATAAAATATATTAGTGATTTTACTATTTACTATAATTATTATTAGAAGGATTTATAAAAGAATATACTAATATTTCCTATACCTTCAAAAACATTAATTACTGAATTAATTAAATCTTTATTATATATTTTCCAAAATATATTAATAGAATATTCAATCCTATAAGGAAAATACTATAACAAAATAAACAAATACAATACTATATACAAATTATATTAGAAAGTTTATAAATAAATCAATAATACTATAGATTTATTTTATATAATAAAAATTATTATTGAATATAAAGATTTCAAAGTAATACCATTTAAAATAATCATTCAAAAGTTTTAGAATAAGTTTGTATCTATAACCACTACAACAAGATTAATCATTATACAAAAATATTAGAATATTCTTCAACAAACAACTCTAAATCGAATTGATTCTATAAAATAATATAATAAATAAACTAAAGTGTATACAAATATAAAATCTTATCAAATCGAAATTGAGGATAACTTAATAATTATCAATTTCCTATAGGCTATAGGTATACAAATGTTTTTTATATAAATTAATATTATATTTATTTAAATCAAAATTAACAATTAATTCGAAATCTCTAATTATTTTTTAAAATAATTTGGGAATATATTTAGTAATTTAGTTTATCAAGATTTCTTAATATTAAAGGGAAAGAGTATTTTTTTTATAATCAATTCTCAATCTAAACCAAGTTCAAGTAATTCACAAAACAAACAAGAGAATGATTTAAAAAAGGATTATAATAGAAAAAACAATAATCAAATTTATTACCCTTGCAAATTAGAATTCAATTAAAAATATAGAAAAATTGATATTAAGCATTATTCTAATATATACTAATTAATAGAGTTTGTATTTATAGGAAAATATAATTTTAAAGATTCATTTTTATTAATAAAAAAAGAATATAATAATATACAAAAAAGAATTAAAAAAGATTGATAATTAAATGTATACAAAATCTAAAAATAAAAAAGATAAATTAATTTAAAAAATGGATTTTTTTAATCATCTAATTTTAGAAATCCAAAATCAAGAATAATAATATATATTATCTAAAAACAATCCGTTTATAGGATATATAATATAACATTTATACTATTCCATCTACTCTCAAATAATACTATATTTGATAATAATAGTATTATATATTTTAATAATAATATAGATTTTCTTAATAAAAAGGAATATTTATTTTCCCTACTTTCTAATTATATCAAAATAGAAATAATAAGAATTCAAATTATTGAATAAAATACTCATATAATTAAGAATATCCTATAAAAACCTTAAAGCTCAAAGGATAATTTAGTTTTATTTGATATTATTTATATTCCCGGATTTCATATTAATATTGTATTAGAAATAAAGCTTATAAAAACAGGAATATAATTTTTAGAAATAAATTCCATTTTGTGAAAAAGCAATCTTGAGAATAGTTATATTATTACTTAGTATATTCACAAGGATAATCTTTTATTTTTAGAATATAAACTATTTTCCTTTTATTTATTCTCTTTAAACTTTGTATTAATAAATCCAAATATTTTTATATATTCTATAATCAATACAAATATCAAACATTTATTCTACAAATCAAAGGATTCATTTAAACTATAAAAGAACTCTGTAAAGCTATAATACAAAAAATTAGAATATTTAGGAAAAAAAACGTTTGAACACTTTATTTTCTTAACAAGAAATATAAAGATAAAAAAAATTATTAAAATCGAATATATAAATTATACTTATATTTATACAAAACAAATAATATCATAAATTTTTAATAAATATTAATCACCTTATCCTTTCTACAAAATATAA